TGGATGGTGGAGACTAAGGCAGGGGGAATGAGAAATGAGAAATTACTTAATGGATACAACATACACTATTCAGGTGATGGCTACACTAAAAGCCCAGACTTCACCACCAGACACTGTATCCATGTAACAAAAATGCACTTGTACCTGCTAAATCTATTTAAAAAATCCTGATGCACAGGCCAACTTGAGAACTCTGAAATTAGAATATCTGTGGTGGGGCCTGGGCATCAGGATTCCTAAGAGCTCCCTGGTTGATGAGCAGGTGCATCCAGGTTAAGAACCCCTGGAAGAAGAACCCTGGTCCCCCTGGGGATTGGACAGCTGAGACCTGCCCTCCTGCCACCTAGGAGAGCAGGGCCCATGCAGGTGGCAGGCAGAGAAGGGAAAGTCCTTCCAAGGGTGGGTGCCAGGGAGGCCAGGATGCTGCCTGTGCCTGCTCTGCTCCAGTCCCTTCCCGGGGCCTCCTTCTTTCAACATCTTGGGAGGGCCCAGATGTAAACAGTGGAGGGAGGCAGTTCTGAATGAAGAAGGCCTGGCTGGAGATTTGGGGTAGGATTTGGCCACCAGTACTGACCAAATCCAGTCCTGACTCACCTGCCTTAAAGGCCAAGATGACTGCTTGCTGCCCATCATGGAAGGAAGGTACATTGTGGACAGGTTCATACTCAGGGGTCTTCAGAAGCTCCCTTTTGGAAGGTGAGGGTTTAGTCTCTTGTCCAGTTGCACTGCCTCCCCTCTTCCCATTGTGGGCACTGGCTGTGGCGGGGCTGTGCAGGCCCAGTATCTCCACCCTGCTTGCCTCCTTCCCTGGAGGCCCTGGGCTGGGCGCTAAAGTCCTATGCCAGCCCAACTGTTTTCCGCAGGAAAGTCTGTGGAGATACCACTTTTCATCTGATTCTCAGAGCACTAGGAAGGTCCTGAAGGAAGAAACACAGGAATGTCCCCCTTTCACTCTGAAGAGGAGGACAGCAGGCCTTTGGGTTCAAGTCCTGGACTCCTTGCTCCAAGGCCAGTGACATTTGCATTTCAAGGCCAATGTTTCCAGGTGGCATGGTTTGGGAATGCAGGCCCCTGAGGGGTTAACCTGGAGGGGGGGCATCATCTGAAGAGGCAGGAGGGGCCCTCCAGAGAGAGGGAGAGAGTGGCACCAGCCTGCATGGGGGCTGGCAGCTGGAGTAGGGTAGGATGGGCATGTGCAGGATGAGGGCTTGGACTGAAGGTCTGGCCTGTGATCAGTGGACAGCCTGTTGATGGTGGACAGTGGCAGCCTTAGGTCCTGACTTTGACTATGAAGATGACCACCAAAGACCCCTCTCTCTACTGGACTGGACAAGTTCTGCTGTGACCCTGCTCACATTGCCTGGTGAGTCACTGGGCTCATTCAGGGAAGCTCCTATGGCCAAGAGCTTCACTGGGAAGATGAGAAGTTCTGTCAACTCACAAGGGGCTGTTTTGAATTCCTGACCTTGTGCAGAGCAGAGAGTGGATCTAGTTGGTGCGTGGGCCAGCGCCTACAGCCCTGTGTTGATAACCCAGTTGCCCAGCTGCCACCTGCAGCCCAGGGCTTCTCAGGAGCCCATTGCTTGGACTTCTCTGCTCCATCTGCCCAGCCTGAGCAACCAGTTCCCAAAGTTCACCCTCACAAGAACCAGGGCTCTGAGGAACACAGAACTAGCCGAGCTGGGGAAGAGGTGTCACCCAGCCCCCAGCTACTGGAGGAAGTACTGGAGAAGGCTGGGAGGCAGAGACTTGGCCAGCTGTGGGCAGCAGGGAGTCTGGATGGGGACTGAGGGTGTGCCTGGTGGGAGAGGGGAGCAGACCTGTGAGCAGGCAACAGGGCTTGGGGCTCCTGGGTCAGAATCGTAGCTCTGTCTTTAACTGGCTGTGTGACTTAGCTTTTCTGACTCTTGGTGTCCATGTCACCTCGGTCAATGAACTAATATTGCTCACTGCATGGTGGGCCGAGCCATTAAGTGGGATGATGCACGTCCAGTGCCTGGAGCATAGCGCGAGCTTGGTAAACATCAGCCACCTGTCTCTCCTTTCATGGGACCTGGGGTGCATGGGGAGTTGATCATGAGGAAGACATCAAGAGCTCAGTCATCAGAACACAGGGTCTGCAGGGACTATTTGCTTCCTCAGAGATCTGTCCTCTATGGCCAGGCCAGGCACCAGCACCACAAGAGCAGGCACCCAGGGATGTCTCTGGAAGGGAGGATGGGGCCCACTTCACCAACTGCCACATCCCTCCTGCTGCCACCTGCCCACTGCCACCTCCCTCAGCCCCTCACAGTGACTCCATGGATGTCTCTATCTCCCAGGCTTCAGGACCAGTTTCCTGGCCTCTGACTGGCCTCTCCCGGTGCCTGGCCCTGGATGCCTATGGAGGGCCAGGAAGGCAGCCCCTGCAGGTCTCAGCCTGACCTGGGAGTGGGGGTTGGCAGGAACAAGTCAGCGCAGCCTGAAAAGGCTGACGAGACCCTGAGCCAGTTGCCTGGGGCTCCCTAAATTCCCTCTAACCAAAATAGGCTGGGACCAGCACCTTGGGTGGGGCTGTGTACATGGGTGGGAGCCAATAACTGTGCAGCCAAGAGTGGGAACAGGGCTGGTCCTTGCTGTCTCCAGCTGGAATCCACCTTGTACTAAATCTTTCTCGGTACCTCAAGTCATTGTGCTTCAGACTGCGACTTCCCGTCTAGCACACTCATCAGTTCACATGTTGGTTTTGTCACAGTTGCTGACACTTAATGAGTGCTTTCCTTTGTGCCCAGCCTTTACTAAATGCTGACTTAATCCTAAAACAACCCTAGAAAGATAGTATTCTTGTCTCCATTTTACATGGGAGGAAACTGAGGCACAGAGAGGTGAAGCCCAGGCTCAGCGACCAAGTAGTACAGAGTCGTATTCATGTTGCACTTGAAATCCACAAACAAAGACGGAACAAAGAACTAAGAAATGTCTTTTAAGTTGGACTGAATTAGGGACCGATACCACTTTGTGCAGTTTGTCTCCACTCTTGCTCGCTGGGACTTCTTTTTTTTAGGGTGTAGATCAACAATGCACTCTACTCCCGAAGCAGATGAGGGGCTGCACTTTTATCCAGCACCCAGCACCCCGAGATGGGGTGGGCGTGCCAGATCTGGCCCCTGCAGCGACCCTGTGCTGACCAGGTCTGGGGTGGGGAGGAGCTTGTTTGCGGGAGGGCTCTGACCTGCCTCACCTGGGAGGCGTTTGGCTCTGGCCTTATTCTGCTTGGCAGGGGCAGCCAAAGTTATCTGCTTCTTGATGCAAGGGAACAGGCTCAACCCTTCAGAGTAAAATATTGGTTGTAAAAAGAAAGTGATAAACGAACCCATCCCCTCTCTCCAGGGTACATGACATTCTTGCCTGAACTGTCCTGTTGCTGCTTGCTGGGAAGTTAGGGGATGTTTCAGTTTTGTTAGAGACGTTTGCCATGCATTGGGGTCTATTTAAATCTTCCATGAATGTGGATGGTGGCTATTCCATCTTTGCAGGGTTCTTTGCTAATTGTCACCACCGCCACCACCAAGGCTACCACCACATGGGAACGTGTGTGCTATGCAGGCAGCCCCTCCTCACAGCCACCCTGCATGGGGAGCCTGGGCTTCACCAGCTACTTGTGTGTATTTGTTTTCTAGGGTTGTCATGACAAAGTTCCACTGAGTCAGTGGTTTAGAATCACACAAATGTATTGTCTCAAAGTTCTGGATGCTACAAGTCCGACATCAAAATGTTGGCAGGGCCAGGCTCTTGATCACAGCTCTAGGGGAGGAGCCTTCATGATCTCTCACATCTCCTGCTGCTGCTGACAATCCCTGTCACCCCCTGGCTTGTGGACACATCGCTCCAGGCACGCAGCTGTCTCCTCCCTGCATGTCTTTGCATGATCGTCCCTCCGTGCAAGGCTGCCTCTGTGCCCCCATTTTTTCTTTTCTTTTCTTTTTTTTTTTTGAGACAGAGTCTCGCTCTGTCACTCAGACTGGAGTGCAATGGCTCGCATTTGGCTCACTGCAACCTCTGCCTCCTGGGTTCAAGCAATTCTCCTGCCTCAGCCTCCCAAGTAGTTGGGATTACAGGTGGATGCCACCATGTCTGGCTAATTTTTGTATTTTTTTTAAGTAGAGATGGGTTTCATCATATCAGTCAGTCTGGTCTCGAACCCCTGATCTTGTGATCCGCTTGCCTCAGTCTCCCAAAGTGCTGGGATTACAGGTGTGAGCCATTGAGCCTGGCTCCCATTTTTCTTTTTATAAGGACACCAGTCATGTTGGATTAGGGTCTACACTAATAACTTTATTTTGACTTGATTATCCCCATGGAGACTCTATCTCCAACTAAGGTCACACTCTGAGATACTGGGGGTTAGAACTTCAGCATATCTGTTTTGAAGGGACAAAATTCTACCCATCATAACACGGTGTCACCTTTGAGAAGTTATTTAATGTCTGAATATCTCAGTCTCTTTACCTGTGGTACCTGTATGCTACTACACCGTAATACTTGCCTCTTTGGGTTGCTGGGATGATCCAGTCAGCTGATATGTGAGTGAAGTGTTTGGGACAGAGTCAGGCACTCCGTCAATGCTGCGTGCCTGGGCTCTGTTGCTACCACAGCCCTCTCATCACGGTAGTGGAACTGCAGGTTTGGAGACATTAAGGCTCTTGCTAAAGGTTTTGAAGCTGAATTGAGAACCTGAGTCAACCTGGACCCAGACACAGTTCCAGGATAGGCCTCCCTGAGACTAGCGTCCCACAGCACTGCCTGGCCCTGTATAGCTAGAGGATGCCTGTGTAGCTAGTGCATCTAGAAGGGTGGGAGCCTGTTCTGGAAAATGATTTTTTCATCTGTTATTTCAAAGCTTTGTCATTAAAGCTCAATATTTAATATAGATGAAGCCCCATCACTGGCTTCTTCATTGACAAATGCAGAGGGTGCCTTGGAGTGGCCTCGAGGCTCTTGCTGCTTGGACGATCTGTGGTCTGTGGATTTACAAGCACAAGAACAAAACACGACCATCTAACTAGACAAACCCAAGCCACAGCTAATATTCTGCTTAGTTCCAGCAGTATTTGGCCCAAGACAGCCAAAAAGCTTGGGCAGCTCCTCTGGGCTGGCGAGGGTGGGCCTGGCTGGCTTCTTCTGCTTTAAGGGCCAGGGCAGCCAGGGCACTGGGCAGGGGAGCTCATGGGACACTAAGATTCCCCAGAGAGTTAATGGCTAGGCCCACAGAATCCTGGAGAGCCTGGCCGCCTCCTCCACAACCCCAATCAGGACTGTAAGAAAGTCTGGGGGTGAAATTCTTCCGTACTTCTTCCTGGGGCTGACTTCTCTGAGACCAGACCCAAGAGTGATCTGAACATTGTCTCCTTGGTGAGCACGGTGTTTTGGAGAGTGGTCAGGATGGTTGGCCATTCATTCCCCCTCCAGAGGGCTTTGATGGGGTGAAGGTGGGGCTGTTTTCTTGGAGCCTCAGGGGAGGGACTTTCTTTTTCTCATTCAGCAGCTGGAAGGCAAGGCATGAACCCAAGATTCAGGCAAGACACCATTTACTGCCTGCTGTGAACGGAATGTCGGTTTCCCCCAAGAGACAACATTCTTTTTGTTGAAATCCTCACCTCCAAGGTTCTGCTAAGAGAAGGTGGAGTCTTTGGGAGGTAATTAGGTCACCAGGGTGAAGCCTTCATGAATGGGATTAGTGAACTTATAAAAGAGACCCCAGAGAGCTCCCTCACCTTCTTTTCATCCAGTGAGGACATAGGGAGAAGATGGTCATCTGCGACCAGGAAGAGGGTCCTCTGCAGAACCCCACACTGGCACCTGACTCAACTTCCAGCCTTCAGAACTCTGAGAAATAAATTGCAGATTCCTGTTGTTTCTAAGCCATCCTGTCTAAGGTACTTTGTTAGACGCAGCCTGTGCTGACTAACACGCTGCCTTATTTGATTTTCATTCAGTGCTTTGAGAAGCAGATCGGCTTGAATCAGCACGGAATGTATCTATTTAAAAAGCAGCTGGAAGTCTGTCAAGTGCATTCTGGAAATGGATTCAGGCTAACAATGTTCTGAATAATAACGCCTAAAACAAGTAAGTATGATGTCATCAGTGCATCATCACTCTTCTGTAAGTGACTGATTTTCTTAAGTATGTGATTGTACTGTCTATAATTTTGTTTGTGTTTTTGTACTTAGCAACTCTTTTTCATATAGATAAAATTAGAATGAATTTCACCCTAGTTCTATTTCCAAAATATTATTGGAGCCCCTACTTTTACCACATGAGTGTGGTCAGATCAAGGCTTACAAACCCAAGGGCGATGCACTGCAGACTCCATGAGTGACAACAGATAGTGCCAATCACTCGGACTGAATCCAGCAAGAAATGACATTAGAGTGGCTCTACCTTGTGGAGGGAAGTGTCCAGTGCAGAGGACCTGCCTGAGTATTGCTTACAATGCATCTTACTGCTTACAATGAAGCCATTTACTTGTTTCCATCTTCATAATTGGCATTTTCCTCCAGTGCCATGGAAATCCTTACAGCCTGGAATAATGCTGGGCTTGGAGCAGGTGCTTGAAAGTATATTAGCAAAACGAATGAATGAAAGAATGGCCAAAGATGCTGGTGCAGAGCTTGGTCTTTGCGAGCCTGGTGAATGTGAACTGGAGTCCGAGATCCCTGGTTGCCCTGATAAGACACTGAGGATCAGGCGCTGGAAGTGCCACTATCCTGCAAGGTGCATTCTCACCTAGCTCTGCAGCCTTGGCTTCACCTCTGTCTTTATTAACTGTCCCCTGTGAGTCCACCTTGGAAGGTTCTCACTTACTTGCTTTTTCTCTCTGCAGGAGCTAGAGACATAAGGCAATGGAGAACATGCGTGGACAGCCCTCCACCCTCCTAGAACCATGTAGGAGCTTAAAAAGTGCTGACCGGCCTGGCCTCACCATGGTCTTTTTTGGTGTGAAGGTGAGATGCAGGCTTCCTGGAGTCATCCTTTTGTATAGCCAGAGATGAGAACCATCTGAGTAGCGTTTCTCACACTTCTATGCGTATCAGAATCATCTGGGGGGCTTGTTCACCGCAGGTGGCTGGGCCTTACCTCTGGCCTCTGGTTCTGTAGCCTGGGGTGGGGGCCAGGATGCACTGCTGCTGTGGTGCAGGCAGTGCTGTAAGAAGCTGCCCCAGGAGCTGGATCAGGCAGCCCTGACTCCCTGACCCAGGGCGTTTGCTGCTTCCCGCCTCTGCCATTCTTTTCTCATCCTGGGGCATTTGCTTTTCTCCCTTTGCTGTCCTGCCCTTGGCTATCCCTGGCAGGGTGCAGAAAAATATTTTTTTTAAATTACTTTTCTTAGCCCAAAGGAGACTGGAATGCTTCACAAGGGGTTCTACCTGAGAGGCAAATGGACCACCCAAATGGCAAACTAAAAGCATTGAAGTGGACACCAGAGGCTCCTGGATCTGAGATGTGGCCCTGGAAGTGACCAGATGTGGTCTCAAGAGATGGGGGCCCAGGGCCAGGAATGCTGCCATTCAGAGAGGACTTGGGGCAGAGCAGAGGGGGTGTGGGCTGGCACCAACTCACTCCTGCTTCTTTCTGCATGTCTCCCTCATTTTTTTCTCTCTGAACTGCAACCTTTTGGCTCTTCTGGGTAGTGGGTGAGACAAGGTGACCCCCTCAGCACTTGAGTTTACACCTTAGATGTGTAGGTCCTTACAGAGGCTGACTTGTCTCCTTCTGGGACCAAATCCAAATTCCCAAAAAAAGGAATGTGATAGCCTATCTCAGGAGTCAGCCCCTGGGACACAAACATTCCCCTGAGTCAGGGAAGGGTGACTGTAACACAGGTATCATTATGATTTAGACGTAGCAAGACTAGCAGTTCAGGGGTGCCTGCCATTGAAAAGACTGTCATACAGTTTCCAGGCAGAAGGGGTACACTAGAAGGGGCACGTGGGGAGGCTGCAGGGCTGGGCAGAAGGTGGATGGAGGGAAGCTGCCGTTACGGTGTTTCTGAAGGAAGGCACAAGTGCGGTGGAGGAAGCAGGCTTAGGACTGGTTCATGTAAATGTCTTCAGTGGGTTCTGCTTGTCTGGTACCTGGCCTGGGGTGATTAGGGTCGGTAGACAGAGGCCCAGAAGGTGAGTTGCTGATACTGGGAATGGTCGTGGGGTGTACTCAGGGCTGATTGGCTTGGGAAGCATGCTTGCAGAACAATTGGTGAGAATGGGCTAGGCCTGGGTGTGGCAGTCCTTCTAGTATCAGCAAGGCACCAGATATCAAAGCATCAGAACACAGAAAGTAAAAGACTGGGTTAATACAGTGTAGTTTACAAAGAAACGGGAAATTGTTGGCTCTGAGCTGGGTGTACATTGAAATGGTGTTCCCTGCAGATCCATTTAAAATCTCTCTGTAAATATGCATTGGTGTGTAACTGCTTCTTGTCTCTAAGCTCAGACGGCCCCTCCCATGCCAGGTGAGGGGCCTCCCACTTTCCTTTTTCTCTCTGGGTGTCCCTCCATCATAGTTTGGGGACAGCCTGGCTGTAGCAGTGTACCTCCATGGCCTGGGGTGGTTGGCAAATGCAATTGCTTAGGTAGTGCTAGATGAAGTGGGATGACGCGGTGGCCACACGGAATGTCATTTCCAATGAAAGCTGGCGTGCCAGCTCGTGACAGGACACAGAGGAGCATGGATTCCCCTTCATGGTTGACTTCAGCCAAGGCCGTCATCCCCGCTGCCAAAGCCTGCCCTGATTGCCTGCCCTGGGGGAGAGGAGTGTTTTGAAGACGGCAAATCAAAGTCAGGCCCAGCATAAAGTTTGCGTGCCTGACAGCCCCGCTAGCACAGCAGGACATGCAGGTGGGGTTTGTGCAAGGCTGTTGTTTTCTATAACACACACACACTGAAGAAGGCAGTGGGTACCCTCAGACCCTGCAGGCCAATTCAAGCACCATGACTGCTTTTCAGAAGCGTAAGACTCAGATATCAGCTGAACCCAGCAAGATGTCCTATGTCCTTGAGACCCTTGAGGGTCTCAAGATTCAAAGAAACAATTTCCTGGAAGTTGGAAGATAGTATGGATACTAGGGATATAATGGAGAGGGTTGCTGGAATGGTGGCTCATGCCTATAATCGCAGCACTTTGGGAAGCTAAGGAAGGGGGGATCGCTTGAACCCAGGAGTTGGAGACCAGCCTGGGCAAGGCAATACAGCAAGATCCCATTTCTATAAATAATTTTTAAAAATTAGCTGGCTGTGGTGGTGTGTGCCTGTCTTCTTAACTACTCCAGAGGCTGAGATGGGAGGAAGGCTTGAGCCCAAAGCTTCAAGGTTACAGTGAACTATGTTGAGAGCATTCCAGCTGGGTGACAGAGGGAGGCCCTGTCTCTAAAACACAAAAATAAAAATAAAAAATAGGGTGGGTGGTCAGGGGTTGTGCAGTGTGAGTGAGGGTGACCAGAAAGGCCATTTCTGTGACAGTTACAAAGGCTGTGTGTGTATGGTGGTGCTGAGGCTTTATCTCCAAGTTAGTTGTGCATATGAGGTTTGTTTGATCCTAAAGCATTTATTTCTAAATGTAAACTTTTAGAATAAAGCCTGGTACCTCTTGCTCTATTTTGGCATAGGTCGTTAATGTTTAATATACTGAGAACTTCAAAATGACAGTGTTGGAGTCTGTCTTCTTACCTTCTAGAAGCCCTCCCAGGTGCTAGCCAGAAGCAGTCATTATTGCTTAGGCAGTGGTGGTGGAAGTTGGGCGTGGCTCTCAGGGGAGCCAGAATGAGGGATGGCAACTCATGAACACACACACATCCCTAAACACCTGCTGGGAGTCCTAAGGAAGACAGCTCGCCTTTTTTTGTTTGTTTGCTTTTTACCACCTTCATTGTGAGTCTAACGTCAATTCAGTTAACCAGCTATTTGAAATTGTTACGTCTAAGGGAGCTGAGAAGATCCAGTGGGTTATTGATTAGAATAGCTGGTGGGGTTGGCGGGTTGGGGTGGGTGAGATGAGGGGAGGGGGATGTGGAGGATGGCTGGGGTGGCTGCTGCAAGATGGGGAGCTGAGGGTTGGTTCAGGCGTTACGTATTGGTTGGGATCCAAGAGCTGCTGTCTGAGAGTCTGCTCACCATCTCTTCCTGCTGAGCCTGGTGGGGCTGAATCGACCTTCATATCTCAGCGATGAGCTTTATAGACTGCAGGCTCCACGGCAGTTGCAGCTCCCAGGGCTTCAGATTGGAGCTGCCGTGATATGCAGAGGTATACGCACAGTGTCAGCTGTGGTGGACGGTGGCCTCTTTCAGCCCCCAGGTGCGTAACAGAGGCGACGTGATCATGTCTGTGAGAGCACCATGATTTCGGGTCTTCTCTGTCAGTTTGGACCAGATTAGGAAGCAGCTGGGACTGCTGGCAAGAAAAGCCAGTCTGCCTATTCTCAGTGTGGGGACACTTGAGCTGGTTCTCAAATAATAGCAGGACGAATGAGCATTGCACTGCTCCCTGATGCAGAATGAAAATCAGATTTCCATCATGAGGAACAGGAAGTTTTTTCACTTCTACCCCAGAGCAGGGAGTGTAGGTCCACCTCAGTGAATGGCTCATCTGTGCCCTGTGAAGTTGACTTCCAGGGTTTCTCTCTCAGACAGACAGGGATAGTTTTTAGGTCTCCAGGGTCTAAAGAATGAAGAATCATTGCTTCAGTTCTTGCAATAGACTTCTTGGGTTCATGGGGAAGAAGGGCAAAGCCAAGGAGCAGGGCTTCCACCCCCTGCAAGGGAGACAGCGGGCCTCAGGTCAGAGCAGGAAGGGCCTGACTGGAGCCTCCTGAGCCCACGGGCCGGGGGAAGGCTTGGTTGTGTGGATGGAAGAGCAGCAGGGTGGAGTGTTCGGGGCCAGGTACTATGCGGAACCTGGGTGCCCAAGGAGGGAGAGCAGACTCTGGAGGGGCCAGGTTCCAGCTACCCTCTCATGCATGCTCTGGGTCTTGTGGAAGGAGGGTGGAGGGAAAGTGGGCAGGGGTTGTTCGTGTTATGGGTGGTGTCCTGGAATTCTCACCTTCCCCAGTGTCTCTCACAGAAACCCAAGGTGGGAAAAAGAAGCAGAAGAAAAGACTGGAACAAAAAAGCACTTCTGCAATGAAGATTGGATTTTCTCTGAAATGAACAGCAAAAATAAAATCTCTCCTGTAGATCTCTAAAGCTCTGTGCATACTTTGTCTATGCTTTCAGACAATCTTAGCAGTAGGTATAAAGGGAATTGAGGTGTTCGAAATTATGCAGTTTTTTTTTTTTAATGCTTCTGTTTAGAATTGTAAAACACAGACTGTGAGGGCTGGAAAGAATCTTTGAGCTTGCGGTGAGCGGAATAGTGGAACCCAAAGAGGTCTATGTCCTAATCCCTGGAAGTCATGAACAACATGTTACGTTACATGGGAAAGGGATTAACACACAGAGTTTTCTTCTTTTTTCTCTTTTTCTGTTATTGTCCAGTTGACCAGGACAGCCTTTAGAATTTTTTTTTTTTTTTGAGCCAGGGTCTTACTCTGTCATCCAGGCGGAAGTGGAGTGTATAATCATGGTTCACTGCAGCCTCAAATTCCTGGGCTCAAGCCATTCTCTTGCCCCAGTCTTCCAAGTAGCTGGGACTACAGGTATGCCCCCCAACACCTGGATAATTAAAATTATTATTATTTTTTTTGTAGAGACGGGGGATTTGGCTTTGTTGCCTAGGCTGGTCTCCAACTCATGGCCAATTTTCCTGTCGCATCCTCCCAAAGTGCTAGGACTGTGCCTGGCCAGAATTTTTAATTTTATGGATTCTGACTTCTAAATTTATCCCATGATTTTGTTGACCATATTTCTTTGAATCAAGATTAAGAATCTCTGATCCAACACTGAGTGAGTTTATGGGGATAATATGACAGGGTATTTGGAATTGAGGCTGCCCCGTAAAAGCTGGGGGACA